TTTAACAATATTTGAAACATTATATTCACCCATCTTGATTTATATCATTTTATCTATATCATGCGGAAGATATCGTATACAATTTGCTTCTTACATTTATAACCAATATCGCGATTTGAATATTGTCTCCATGTTGATTCTGAAGCGGTTGTGCAATATTGTATATTTGAGTTCGACGGCATATTGGTTGAATATTGTTTCAACAATATTCGAAATATCATATTCACCTTTATTGATTAATATCATTCTATCCATATCATGCGGAATATATCGCACACATATTGTTTCGAACAACTATAACCAATATCGCAATTCAAACATTCTCCCCATGTCGATTCTGAAGCGGATATACAATATTGTGTAATCGGGTTCGACGGCAAATTGGATGAATATTGTTTCAACAATATTTGGAACATCGAATTTACCTATATTGATTGATATCATGCGGAAAATATCGTATACATATTGTTTCCAACAATCATAACCAATATCGCAATTTGTTAATTCTCCCCATGTCAATTCTGAAGGGGTTTTCAATGATTCAAATATGAATATCAATAACGGCAATTCAAGAGAAAAACAATATTGTATTTTCAAGTTCAATTGCATATCGGGTGAATAGTTTTCTAACCATATTCAGAAAATAATATCATCTTATATTGACTGATATGTGATTCACTATATCATGTGAGAAATATTGTTCACATATTGTTTCGATAATACATATCGATATCGAAATTTCGATATTTATTCCATATGACGCACTCCCAAACCGATATGTCGATAGATGGCGCTATAAATGATTGGTAACGTACTCCTATTGCCGATCAGACGAGAGAATATAAATATTGGCTCTAGACGATTGTAAAGTATTATAACCTGGAGTAGGGGTTAACCGTGATCAACAAGGCGGCTTCCCCAGGGCAAGGCCCTCCCATTGCACTCCGGCTGGGCTGACCTCTGTGATTATTCCTGATGCGAATAACTCGCAAATATTGGTATGAAAATATTCCACCAATATTCTGAAGACAACATAGCTACATAATGATTTTCAATAATGTACCAATATCTCCAACCAATATTGCACCAGTATTGTCACCATTTATCAGCAATATTGATATCACATTTTGTGACCAATATTACTTTCTTAATATTCCAGCAATATTGGTATGAGAATATTCTATCAATATTTCTGAGACAACATACCTTCATGATGATTTTCAATGATACACCGATATTTCCATATATTACACCAATATTGCCGAATGTTCACCATTAATTTCTCGCCAATATTGATATTACATTTTGTGTCCGATATAACTGTACGAATATTCAATATTCAATATTGATATGAGAATATTCTACCCATATTTGGAAACTGATATTGTACCAATATCGCCGAATTTTCACATTTTTTTTCCTCGCCAATATTACTTTCACAATATTTTGCCGATATTTACGTAATATTGCACCGATATTGTCCCAATATATGTGTGCTACTTGGGAAGGAAAAAACTTTCAGAATCTTCAGTTTTATATCTTTTGAATTATTGTAACATTGTCTACTATCAATGTCTTGATAAATGCACCCAATATAAACTACAACGCGTGCAAAATACTTGTTGTAGATTCATATTCAATCTGGGGAAATATGATCACATTCCTCAATATATCCTGCAGTTGAAATGGCTTAGAGTTTCTAATGTATTTAAATATCATTTCCTTATTTTTCTGCACAAACTATTAAATAAAGTCCATACCTTCCTCATAAACTGGTCGTTAGAAATAATTTACATAATCTTAACACCAGCCATTCACAGGTACTCAACATGCCAAACCATTCGACTGCTCTGTTTGAACGCAGTTTCACCTATAATGCTGTGAAACTTTTCAATTCTTCCAAACCAGAATTAACAACACCATTGAAAAAATACTTTCTTAGATTAACTTCCTTTTTTTTTTCATCTATGCATATAGGTATAACATACATTTTATAGATCGATGCATTTTATCTATTCTCTATTATCTATACATATACCATATTAATAACATTGTATAATACTTTCATTTTAGTTTTTTTGTTTATTCTGTGAACTGATATTTTTGTCAAATAAAGTCAAAGTCAATTCATTATATACAGTGGTTTCAACCCAGTGTATTAGAAAACAATGATTTTAGAGCAGATTTCGGTCTTGCAGACTCGAGCCGTTCCTCTGTGTAAGTATTCTTTATATACAGGGTGTTCCTTAATGATGAGCAAGTATTCAAGGGGCCGATTCTAAGACCCATTTCAAGAATAAAACTTCATATGAACGTATGTCGTAAACGTCCTAACTTTCGAGATACAGGGTGTCAATATTGAAAAGATGCAAAGATTTTTTTGTCCACCCTGTGTAGCTTTTCGTGTTGGCAAATTTCAGTCTGCTATGTGACTGAATCGGTATACAAATTCCAAAATGTTACATACTGTGGTCATCCAGTAATGGATGTCCTGAATGGAATAGTCGGACATTAAAATTTGAAGTGTGGTCTCGTTTTTTCGTTTTTTCTCGAAACCGAACCGTTTTATTGAGTATCAACAGGAGGATCTTTGTTACACATAATAAAATAGCCTTTCATAGCAATGTATGTAATTAGAAAAATTTTTGTCGTTGCTGACTTTCAAGTAAAATATAAACAATAATATTCTCATAACGGTGCCATCTCTGGTAGAGAAAATGCAAATTTTTGTACATCAATAAATGCACCTTGATGCATAAAAGACGTGTACCAAATTTCATCAAGATGTATACAATATTGTCTCAGTTATTATCAGAAAACTGAATATTTTTCAAAATTTCATCACCCTGTATCTCAAAAAGTTGTACGGCAAAATTCTCGAAATAATTGTTACACACGGTGTTCATTGCAACGATACCCGAAATGCATACCATTTTTATTTTAATTCGATTTTTTTTCTGTCATAAAAATGAGACATTATTCTCCGTTTATTCCAACTATTCGTCCATAATAATGATTTATATTTAACACGTCATCAGAAACAAAATGTTATACAGGAAATTTGATTTTTTTTCCTTTTTGGGTGTATGAGAGCCAACGCGTTCTTTGCTGTAGAAATGAATGAACCGTCTCCTGCAGGGAAGAACATTTCAAAAATTGTTGTTGATTTTGTAAAGATATTGATTAAATGTTACTATTTTCTGGTTGAACCTGACCCTCAGTCTCTTCAAAATCTCACCTATGGTCAATTTCAAGATGAATGACAAATCACGTTTGATCCCTTCACGCCTCTGTGACGTCACAATTCAGTATGATCCACCACAAAGCTGAGTTGCGAAAAAGAATGGAACAGTGGCTCCCATGAATTTTGCAAGCAGAAGTTCACACTACAGGAAATTCAATCTAAAAAGAAGTTATATGAAAGACGGTATATCAATATCATGTCCGATAGTCACGCAGCCATCAAAGCTCTGAGCGCTATGGTTAGTTACCAGCTTTGAATTGGTTTGGTAATGCTGGACTGAACAAGCTATCCAACAGAAAATGGGTAAAATGCACCCCATTCGGGCCAATGAAAGTGTGGACCCCCTTCAACTCCCCCAAAACCTCCTCGAAACCTTGGAAATCAATAAAGCTGTCAAAAACTCCAACCTCAACTGCTTCAATGAACAAACCCAATTCGATAGTCTCAAATTATTCAACTCCTCATTATTTTCACTATAATTCTGTTCTGTGTTCTATGTCACTCCGAATCAAAACATCTGCCGATTGTCATTTGTGATTAGTTGACCCAATTACCTGCTCTATTCATTTTGGAAACTGTTTGTTTAATTCACAAGAAACGGCAGAAATTGGCCAATAAAAATGTGAAACATCAATATAATACAAGGACACATACTAATGATATCAGACTACCCATACCAAATTCGACTCTTGTAAAAAACTCCTTTGTTTATAATGGGCTCAAGTTATTTAATCACCTACCTGATGTGATAAAGGACATTTCACTACATTGCAGATTCAAAAAAACTGTAAAAAAATTACTGTTCAAAAAGGCATATTATGCCGTTGACCAATTCCTAGCAGATACTACTTTCTAAGTTGTTTATTTTCCAACTGGCTTTATTGATCCCCCACAAGCAGGCTCTGCCTCGACATAATTTAAGCTTTAAATTCATTGTCTAGTGTTTGTTTCTTGTTAGTTTATTATTTATAATGTTGTCTTCATTTATCTACGTATAAGTACTTGTAACTTAGTAATGACTCATATTTATATTATTCGATATTTTTTCTTATGTTACATTTTGATCGTCCATCTCGTCGTCCATGCTTTGTTACGAGAATCTCATTCTTAAACAATAAAGCACTTTTTGACTTGACTTGACTTAAATAAATTCAGACCCACATGTTGGTACTTTCGAATATTTCCTTCAAATCAAACAATTTGTAAAATAATGTCTTAGGATATTTAAGTAATCATTTTCAATCAATAATGGTAGGTATATTCAGACTTTTCAACAATACTCAAGAACCAACATAAGCGTTGTTTTCTCCTTACAGATTTTCTTCTCGTTATAAATTTTCTGATGATGAAGGAGTTATCCTTCGAAACATGACCTTCTGTCCATGAGCGTTGGTCATTATAAAATTGTTTATGTGGTGGAGTTGTCACTGTAAGTTCTTTCACCCCTCCTGATGAATATTATATGGACTGTATAATGAGAATGTGCTTTATGACTGAACCCAATTGGATAAATAATGACCTCAGAATCAATTAATGATGGGTTGAAAGATAGATAGGTATCTATTCAATGAAACGTGAATTTTAAAAGCATACGTACAATTTATTATGACTTCACAGACTCCGACAAAATTAAAAAACATCAAAATATGTTCTACAGCAACTGTCATACTTCCTGCATCAGATAGGTTCAAACCTATACATACTGCCAAATCACTTTCAACTCTTCATTTCCCTAATGAGATTGTCAATCGTATTTTCAACCAGCTTGAATCAAGACTCCTTCAACTTTGTCCTTGACTTTCTTGAACTCATTTTGGGATTTTCTCGTGTCCAGCATTGGTTTCATTTCCAATACCTTATCTCTTCGTGATGCAGAATGGCTTGTTCTGGATGACAGCAATGAAATCGATGTCTGCCTGTTGCGTTGGCTGCTTCTTCTGGAGAAGTTGGTCTTTATGCAGAGAAGATATCTGAAACCGTTAGTTATTGATCAATGAAAACTACAAGGCGGATTATGGGTCATGAAAAATTTCAGCTTCTATTACAGAACAAAAATGGTGAAACTTGTACCTAGTGAATGTTACTCATGTTCATTCCCACAAATATAATTTTACCACTTTCAATATACAGGTGCTTCATTGCTTCCAGCTATATGATATATTCAAGAAGCTTTCCCTAGTCGAGTACTGACAGTAAATGAAATGAAGGAAGAAGGAATGCTAAAAGTAATATTAGCACTATTGAAGAAGGAAATTAGAACCAAATTTCATAATGCTTCCTCATATACAGGGTGGTCCGGTTTATTATGCAAAAAAATTAACAGTGTGTTGTACTCGTTGACATAATGAAAAAAGTTTATATAAACATATACTTTTCAACGCGTCGTTTTCTTGTTGAAAATACGAGTGTAATTATTGTTTTTTGGTGAAAAAATTGAAACGGTTGCGGATAAATCAACAAAATTTCCCACATATACTAAACTTATTAGGTACGTTCCATAAGATGAAATAAATAATATTTCATGAAGTAATTCAGTGGCGGCTGAATCTGAGGGTGCTGAAGAGAAAATCACCCCATTTTATATGTGCATTTCTTTCTTGATTTGTAGTTCAAAATCTGAAAAAACATAGGTCTCGGCTTGAAAAGGCTCATTTGTGAGTTTTTGATACGTTTCGCCGTTCTCGAATTAAATCGGTTCCGAAATATCGTAACTTCATGTCCAGTAAGTACACAGCTTCGCGGATGATAGTACCCTCCATACCGCCTTCTCTTCCAGGGCTCCAATACCAGCCAGGCAAATCAGAAACGATCGAGGGAGAAATGTTGACAACATAAATATGGACTTGGCAACAATCCTCGAATGGGGATCTAATAACTTGGTAGATTTCGATGCAAACAAAACACAAGCATGCCTTTTCTCTAGAAAAGCCGATCTCACTGTGCCAAACATAAGCATGTCAGGACTAACCATTCCTTTGAAGACATCCATTTCGATGCTTGGTATTACTATCAGCAATAACTTTTCTTGGGAAAATCACGTGAGAACGATCGCTAAAAGTGCATCCCAAAAACTTGGTTTTCTGTTTCGGGCCAGGAGCTATTTCACTTCCAGTCAGCTGCTTATGATCTATAAAGCACAGATTTGACCTGTCCTGGAATACTGTTCCCATATTTGGAGTACAGCACCCAAAGATACCCTGAAACTGTTGGATTCTGTCCAAAAAAGGGCAATTCATCTCGTGGGTGATGCCTCGCTCACAAACTCACTCACTTCTCTGGAACACCGTAGAAAAATTGGCGATCTGGCTCTATTTTATAGATATTTTCATGGACGATGCTCTTCTGAAATATCAACAATTGTACCTCCCTTGGCAGTCTCCGCGAGATTAACCCGTCGAGTTGAGGCTTTGCACCCCTTTGTGGACACTTTGGAGACCTGCAGAATACCTCTTTCCAAAGACTCGTTCATTTAACGAACAGCGAGGCTCTGGAACACATTGCCAAGGGAGGTGTTCCCGGAGGCATATAACCTCCAGAAATTCAACAACGTGGGAACCACAAACTAAAAAAAACATCTTCAGTATAATAATATTATTTGATTAAAATTAAACAAGAGTGCTATATGCTCACTGTTTCATCTTCAAGGTTTAGTATCTGTTAGAAATTTGGTTGATTTATCTCAAACCGTTTCGAACTTCTCATCAAAAACCAATATTCAGACTCGTATTTTCAACACCCTATATCTCGATAACAACGCGTTCGAAAGTATATGTTCATATGAACTTTTTTCATTATTTCAACGAGTACAACACACTGTTGAATTTTTTGTATTACAAACCAGACCACCCTGTATACTAGGTATGTTCACGTAACCGTGAAAGGCAGTAACAACGTGGTCAAGGGATAAATAAAATATATTTTCATTTTGATTCATAATTCTATCAAAATCTATGCTATTTGCTATACTCTCAACCATTTCGGGATTCTCATATTATGCATAAAATTTTTTAACATTAATAACTCGTTCTACCAATTTGAGGTTATTGATGTTATGTGTTATGTTTGTAATTGAACATATGTTCAGCTATACTCGATACGTCTTTTTTATTATATTCTATATGTGAGAGGTGTTCTTTGAACCTTGTTTTTATGGGTTGTCTTATTTGCCCTATGTATTTGTTCCATATACACTACAATCAATTACGTTAATTGTCTACTTTTCAAGTTCGTCTACTTTATCTTTTTAATTGCCTAATAAATTGCCCAGTTTTCACCCTTGCTGAAATACGTTTTCAGAACCTAAGTCCTAATAAGTCTTGGAAAACCTCATCAAGACCTTTTCTATACTTGGGATTGAACGAGATTGTGTGTCTTCTCGAATTGTTTCTATCTACTCGAAGTCGTAGAATTCCAAACGGCTAACTTGAATTTATGTCTACGTATTATCATATCTGATGATATTTTGATATCATCACCACGATGCTGGGAGGGTATAGCATTTCTAACATTTGCTGCATGAATGGTAGATCTTTTGATGAGTAATTCATGCGAGTACTTTGGAGTTACAGTAGACAACACCATATAAACAATTGATGCATATGTTGCCCGTCTCTCAATTTTGAGAATTTTCATTTCATTGTAAAATGGTGTTATGTGATCACGTCTGTTGATTTCGCATCACTTGCAGTCTATATTACGCATCTTATCATCAAGAAAAAGATAGTAGACAGGTGCATTATAGTCGATATGTGTAAGTACTAGTGAGTTAGTTAGATTCCATTCCGTAGAAGGTGGCAAAATGTTTTTTGTTGAGAATATCTGGACCAAATGTGAGATTCTCATCAAAAAGAATTCCAAAGTTCTTCACATAACTTTCCACATCCACTAATACATTTTCAACACTAATTGGTATCTCCACCTTTGGAATCGCACGAATGTTAGATTCTGTTATTCCCTGTTTTAAGGATAAGAATGAAGAGTTATTACCTGTTATAATACTTCCTGAATGCACCACTGACGAAATAAAGCGCGATGGGGTTGGCGCAGGAATTGATGTAGAACAAACAAAATCCTGAGATTCTCAAGAAGTGCCAAAAGCCGTCGTACAACTCATCGGACCTGGGGTTGAAGTAGAAGAAAATCATGAACGCATGGGATGGCGCCAGACAAACAGCAAACACTCCAACAAACACCAGGACAGTGATTGCCACCTTCTTCCTTGCTAGAACCTGAAACATGCTGAGGTGAAACAACGTTGACAGAAAACCAAACAAATGCAAAATGTAATTGTTTGCTGAGTACAAGCTAATGAGAGCTCAGCGGAATTTTCAAGAATATTCATTTTTTCTTATTCTAGGTGTCTCTTCCAGGGCTTTCATCGTAATTATCACCTTCTTTCCACTATAGGCGATAGCAAAAGTAATCTCCTCAGTTTGAAGTGACTAGGTAAGATAAGCTTGAGACTTTGTTAGCTTCTGCTGGAGGTAGTGGCGGATTGAGACGTTTCGCAGACTGAGGCGCAATTTATTGCAGCGCCCCCTTCTTGATGGAGACAAGGGACAATTCCAGTTGCGTCATTTCGGTGAATACCAGGGGAGGTGAAGGAACCCAGACAAACCGCTTAGTTATTGAAAGCACCGCAGCCGACATTTTTTTGAAGTTCAAGGTCATATGCGTTCAAATTGAAAATTGGATTTATTCCAGAGTGACATCAACTTCATTTCAATGTATACCAGGACTTAGGAGGTCGAGACACCCAGACTGAAATTTTCTATGGTAAAAATGCGCCGCAGGCGGAAATTTTGTTGGGATTCAAGGTCAAATGCCTTCAAATTGAGAATTAGATTTCTTCAAGACTGAAAAAAACTGCATCACATCATTTTATTATGAATAATTCAGTTACATGTTTGTTACAATTGATATACCTATATAAAATGATCTCACTGTGTCCAACATAATCTTGTTAGGTGTAACCATACCTTCGAAGGCATCCATTTCGATGCATGGTATTACTATCAGCAATAACCTTGCTTGGGAAAATCACGTGGGTTCAATCGCTGAAAGTGCATCCCAAATACTTGGTTTTCTGTTTCGGGCCAGGAGCTATATCACTTTCAGTCAGCTGCTTATGATCTATAAGGCATAGATTCGACCTGCCCTCGTATACTGTTCCCATGTTTGGAGTGCAGCACCCAAACATACCCTGAAACTGTTGGATTCTGTCCAAAAAAGGGCAATTCGTCTCTTGGGCGATGCCTCGCTCACAAACTCACTGACTTCTCTGGAACACCGTAGACAAGTTGGCGATCTGGCTCTATTTAATATATATTTTTATGGACGATGCTCTTCTGGAATATCAACAATTGTTCCGCCCTTGGCAGTCCCTGCGAGACTAACCCTTCGAGTTGAGGCTTCGCACCCCTTCGTGGTCACTTTGGAGACCTGCAGAACATCTCTTTCCAAAGACTCGTTCATTCCACGAACAGCGAGGCTCTGGAACACATTGCCAAAATGGTATTCCCTGAGGCATATAACCTCCAGAAATTCAAGAAGAACACCAATTGGTTCTCACGATGTTCTCTGGACATTACAGGATATGCCTTTTCGTGGAAACCAGAACGTGAAAAAAATGTATTTTAGATAGTGTCTCTAGATTACCCCGAGCAGGTAGATGTTCCCAAAAGGTGTTGGGAGCAAGGAATAATGACTCATTTGTTCAATTTAGCAAAACAATCCAGAGATTCCCTGGTTCACTTGAATTTTTTGTCGTATCCGAATCAACAACCACCACTCATAACAGGAAACAGGTTATTCATCAGTCTATCATAATTTTTACATTTCAGTTAGATGGCTTCCATGTATCCAGGTATATTTTATGTATTTTGAAATGATAAAGTGCCTCCCTTGATATATTTCGGGTCAACTTCCTTAACCCTGATCTACTGCTACCCTAGCAGATCTATTGTAGAAGTCCATTGTGTATACAAGAGCTTGGTCTTAAAACCTCCATAGTAGTTCTTCCGAATAGCTACTAGTTGATGCTCTTTCCTTTCGGTATCATGTCTGTTGAGCAGAAAGTATCCCGTCAACAGACCCAGCATTATAGCTCTACAGGTCTGCTGTAAATTCATTCGAAGGTTTCTTTTGCAATATGATGTTCTGCCTGTCTTATTTCCAGGTAGTTTATTGACTAGTCCTGTGAATTGACCTAGCATGAGATGATACAGTGTTTAAAGGCTATGCCTGTCGACCTAGGCTGCTCGGGATTCCAGTTCGTATTTTCTATTCTGGCCCTTCTTTGGTCTTTGTACTTGTACCAGGCATACCTTAGTTATTATACCAAATGAACATTGTGAAGACAACAGCGTACTATCATTGCCTCTCCCTAATAACACACCTCCATCCATTGGACATTCAATGGATATCCTCAACTAGACATCCATAGGATAACCACTATGTGTACACAGGACATACATGGGTTATCCATTATGGACACCCATTCGGAATTCATGATGGACATCCATATTTGGTGTCCATTATGGACATCCATATGGTGTCCATATATTTAGACATATTTACCAACCTATACGTATTCAAAAGACAGGTTAGGTTATTTTTTTTATTATCTCAAAGAGTGTTCATGGGTGAAACCTAGAGTAAAAAATAGATATTACCTACTTAGGGTGATAACAAATTGGAAAAGAAGTGGTCCAATGCACTGGCACAAAAACTGAAATGGATATTTTGCATCATTTCTACATTATTTCCGGAAATATTCATTGCATTCTGAATCCGTCACCATAATTCCTTTTCAGTATTTACTGGTCTGAAGTACACTTCAAACTCTATAGGTACTCCCCATAAAATATAGTATGTTTCCACTGCCGTTTCCTCTACTTATTTGAATACTGTGGAATCAAACATCAGTGGACATTCAGAGTGAAATGTGGTAGAGCCTCATCATGCATGAGCCAGATGTTGTGATTAGGATGTTCCATAAATTATTATCGCCAGTCTTAGTCGATGAGGCAAGATAATTGGCCCCAAGATGAATTTAACTGTGAAATTGTCAATGGTTCTTGGCCACACATCATCTGTTGTCGTATCATGTTGTCAACATCCGATATAATTTTCTCTATTTAATAGTAGATACGTCGGAAGAACCTGTTTGCAATCCTCTTTCTTCTGTTCATTCTAGTGAATGGTGTTTCACCTACCTATCCAAGAAATATGTTATGTTATCGTAACAATTCGCAATTAGAAACACCTGGATAGACACAAAAATAATAAGAACTGCTTGCTTGTTACGTGAAGGCCGTATACAGGTAAAAACTGAGGCATAATTCAACAATAAAATACTGGAAATGATCAGAAAAGTCCACCAAAACAAATGAATCAAATGAACATAACATATATATTACATTTCAGATTTTCATCCTAACCTCTTATCAATAAATAACTGAATATATAATTTTTCAACAAAAAATTAAACAAAATATAATTTTAAATCTCAGGATTGAAAATGAATCTTTGATACAAACTGATCAGAAAAAGTATCTTGGGATTGGGTTTGATGATAAATTAAAGTTGACAAACATATAAATGTTTTGACGAAAAAAATATCTCCTATTATTGAAGCCCTGAGAAGATGTCCCAAGCTGGATAAAAAAGTTGCAAATACAATTCTATATTCTCATATACTCAGTCGTATTAACTATCGGATAAATGTTTTGGGGATTCTGTTCAAAAAACAATTCCAATAAAATATCTGCATTATATAAAAAGACATTGAAAGTACTGTATCGTATACCATATGATACACCAACAAATCAATTATATAAAATAACTGAACCATTCTCATTAGAAAAAATGTTCAAAATTGAAAGACTGAAAATAACATACAATATACTATACTATATATAAGAGATTGGAATCTAATTTCATTTCAAAACGAAACAATGAAATTCATAATTACCAAACTAGACAACACGGTTTATTTCATCTTGATATCGCTAATTCTACTATAGGTCAAAAAAGATTCACCCACGCTGCTCTCTTGGAATATATATCAAATTACCAAATAGAATAAAAATTGCAGAAATACAATAAAATTCAAATACCAATTTGAAAAATTCATCATTTCTGAACGAAATAGATGATTTTTTTTTCCAACTCTTGATTCATATTCAAATTGATTTTTGCTCACCAATATGAAATGATTTGTCAAAATTTAATACTTAATGTTTTAAAATATTATATTATTTATGAGTTTATTATAATTGTTTAGTTTTAGGTATTATTGTTAACTATACTTTCTCATACCAGAACTTGATTCTGACTGGAAGTCACATTTTCAATAAATAAATAAATAAATAAAACTCATGGATGTCCGATATGTACTGCCAAGTATCCGGTATGGACATCCAAGTGGCTATCAGATGTGCGTCCATGGACATAAATAGGCTTCCAGATGGAGTACGCACTAGATCATCAGCTGGATGTACAGTCGTATTAAAAAAAAGCGTACAAGTATATTGGAGGGAGAAATCAACGTCATCCTATTTGCGTAAAACGGGCTATCGGGAATCAATGTTTATCAAATATTGACAGTAGAGTAATCATAGGTTCTCAAAACAAAGCATTGGCTGAGTCAATTTTACACAACGAGAACTAGAATGCCGAAATCTTCTATGTTCAATACTTGAACGCTTTTTCATTGAATACGACTGTACATGTACAATAAAAGATCGTTTTATTGTACATGTACATGGATGTCTTGGACTTCAAATGGATTTCAAATGGATTTCCTCTAGATAACGTGTGTTATTAGGGCCATTACCTGTTTATTCAGCTCCCTCATCTCTCCTGGCACATTCCTCATGCTCGTTATCAAAGACATGGCCATGCCGAAGTAGAACACAGCTATCACCGTCAGGGGAGCGACGTAGAGTGTGAGGAATTTGCCCATGACCATGACCTTGGGATAGGTTCCGTTGAGCCAGAGCTCTGGAAAGGGGTAGCAGACGCTGAACAGGGGTTCCTCTTCCGAGGGCAGTGCTTTTATGTGCGATCCAGCTGCTGCAGGTGCTGCGAGTAGAAAGGCTGCAACCCATATCGATACAGAGACGCAGATGGTGACTCGTTTGGCGCTGCGGCTGCCGCCTGTAAGAAATACCATGTCTTATCCAGTGGCGGCTCCTCGGAGGAGGCAACGGAGGCTGAGCCTCCTCAAAGATTCTCCTAAAACTGATATTATCCATACTTTCTCATCAAAAGGATACCGAAATACATAGATTTTGATTTTATTTCCTGTCTTTGGTTGAATATTTTTGAATTGGCAACAGTGCTTGCCCACACATCACACGTTGAAGTCTGCAAATCACGCGTGAAATATTCAACTTGGCAACATCTATAGGAGGCTAGACTCCTTCATAATGCGCAACTCACGCGCGCAATGCATATGCCCGAATACGCCCGAATAGCACGTGTTTGTCGTGTCGCGTCGCGAATCGCGGACAATCCAGCGCGAGTGCATTGCATTGTTTATGTTTATGTTAGGTTAATGGTTAGGGGCTCTATAAATTCCTGAAAAATTAGTGTTTTAAACGATTGCGATTTAGTGGAATACTTTTTGGTCAACCCATTCAGTGCTCTGTCTTATGAACATAAATTGATTGTGAAAAACAAACGTCTGACACCGGAATTAAAAAATCTGATTGTAACAGGTAGCAAACAAAATCGTTCGTTCAATTCTGATAATTATTATAAAAAATATATCTGGTTGACGGCATCTGAGGTAAGGAATAAGCTATTTTGTTGGTACTGCGTATTATTTTCAACCGATAAGTCATCATGTTGGGGGCGATCAGGATATAATGATTTGAAAAATTTGCCTCGCGGATTTGGATAGACACTGCAAATCACAGGAACACCTCTCTTCAAGTATTAAGTTCAGGTTAACTGGTAAACAGAATGTCATTTGAGCTATTGATTTTTGTGAGTCGTAGAGAGTTGTTTTTCACAATGAATCTCATATCATTCAGCCTCATCTGTCATGAAAGTCACGAGCCGCCACTGGTCTTATCAATCAGGAACGAATTATTTATACTAATGGGCAGATACGAGCAATGAACTCAATACAACTGAAAGGGAGATGGCCGTTCTCTCGAATAGCACGAAGTGTGTCAGGGGCAGCTGCAACAAAGAAAGCATGATTTACGGTAACCTGTCTCTTTCCTACACGTGTTGTTTAATGGTGGATTGGTGTTTGCGTTTGCTTTTATCAAATAATTAAAGTACTTCAGATTTTTTTCTCACATCTAAACAGGCAAGAAAGTGAAGACATAAGTTCATTGTCTTTGTTTATGTGAATTATCAATTCATTTGTCGTGTTTTATTTTATAAAAAGGACTGAAATTGTTGGTGTTAACACTGTGAACTGATTGTTGAGGAGGTTTTGATAAACAATGGTGATTTATTGTGTGGCCTTTGGATTATTTGTTGCAGTTTTCCATTCAGACATTCTTGAATTATGGATTAAGGCAGTTCGTAGAGTTGGATTCCATCTAAAACAAGCAAGCTTTGTGGAGAGCATTTCCTGACAACTGATTATTCATTTTGACATACCAGGTACTGCTAGGTTATTGAAACTAGATGCTGTACCAGTATATTTCCATTTACTAAGCATTAGCTACCTAAAAATACTGATCCTTGAAGGAAAATAAGAAAACTCATTGATTAATAATGAAAAAAAAGTATGTTTTCACCTCTTTGAAATAAAAAACTAGCTAGTAGTTTATTTTCAGGATGCATCTGTAGAAGTTCACAACATTGGGTCCTGAGGAAGATGTTTCTCATATTATGGACTTTACCTATGACTCCCAGCCGAGTTCCAGCTCCCAAGTTTTGAAGTTCATCAATAAAGAAACCCAAATTGTTCCTTTGGAGAAGGATATTGTATTGAGAATCGTATTTTTTTAATTTCTAATAGGGATATGTTTGTAGGCAATGTCCTAATGGTAAAATAGGAACCTATGGAAATTATGCTCAAAATGGACCTTATACAGGGTATGTCGCGGCGAGCTTACACTATCTTTATATCGAGAATCAGTCGCATATTTTAGAATACGCTCTCTTCATTACAAATATTTTCGACAATGCAGTGTTGTCTTCCTACTAGAAAGTAGTAGCAACATTGATATTCCAAATGGAACACCATGTATTTTATCGCATTTTTAGATTCTCCCTGAAAAGCCGAAATTATCGATATATCACATTTGGGGTCTATAGAAAATGATTACTCAGATATAGGGTGTTCAAAATCTAGATTTTTCAACTTCAAGATTTTTTTGTGTCGAAACTATTTATTATCGGTCAAAACGGCTCACATTTCCGTATCTCAACTTTTGATTCACTATTTACCGATATTTAATCGGAACAGATACAGGGTGGTTCAAGATTCAGAATTCTGATCACCCTGAATCTGTTCCGATTAAATATCCGTAAATAGTAAATCAAACATTTCTCGGCCCGAATGAACCTCCTTCCTTCAGAGTATATAGATATATTGTTTATTCATCCTTCTTCGAATCAAAATCACTACACAAATTCAAAATAAAATCTACCGATCTGAGCATTTTTTCGTATCTACGCTATTATCACCCAAAATCTCCCTGTCAAGTTGAAAATGGGCCATCCTGTATGATGAAAAGGTTATTGAATAATTAACATGAATACGTGACCAAAATATCAACATGAAGGAGGAAGAAACCTGCAGAACACAATAACTCTGATATCTTGGACTATGGATGATATGGAGGGACTCAGAATTTTTTCAGATATCTCGTAAAGCAAGCAAAATTCAGAAAGAAATGTTGTGAGAAAAAAGATAGATGATTGATTTTGTTATTCAAGTAGATATTGAAATATGGTCAGTGGCGTACTCAAAAAAAGTTCTATGGGTTTTCTCCAATCAGAATGCTAAATTTGTATCTCCCTGTATATCGATTGCACTGATGAAACCTGTTATCTATGCACACTTCTTATAGTTGACTGCCTTCCAAATTTCAGATCATTACCTCTCAAGGATTTTGAAATATTCAATAAAATCTGAAAAAAAAATTCCATTCATCGCCCTCTCACGGCCCAACGATGCATTTTCGTATAGAGGTAAGTTGGTCCCAATCGACCTATTCTGAACCCTAGTTTACCCTGTTGAATTTAATGTACGTTGTTCTGGGACACCCTGTATACTATTTTTAACGCTGACTAAAACACACAAATTAGGAAAGAATAGTAAAGTTTGTGAAATTCGTATCTTGACAACATGCATCTTGTTCACAACACATGGTGACAGCAAATATCAAACTGAAATTTATGAAAACCCCAAGAAACTATTGATACTGCTTCTGCAGTGATTCTCAATCTAGAAATCTGTATGATGCAGCTTACCTATATTCGCTTCAGAGAAGGGTGAAAAATGTAAAGTTGGTATAAAACTCCCTAGGGGGAAAATATGTTACATTTTCTCCCTAGGGAATAATACGATATTTCTGCCCCTTTTTTTGTTCCCAGAGAAACTAACTTCCACTCCTGCTGGCGTAAAAATGCAATTTTTTATATTTATTCAGGGGCAAAATCATGGTTTATACTCAAGATTGGAACAAACATTTCACTATAGTATTATTATATACCTATGTATATTTAATGCGATTAAATTTATGACCACTCCGTAAAGCGTTAACTTCAAAGGTAGGTGAACATTGGAACATTTGCGTCTGATAAATAGATCTCAGCTGTTTATTTATCGGGTTAAGCCGACTTATAATTATTGATTCATCAAGGATTCTCGAGGAGATCTATATTGAAAATCAATGAAAAGAATGTTCGTTCGAATATGATTTTGATTTTGTCGTTGTATGAATACAAAAAGCTCAGTCATATCCGCACAATGTTCATAACATAGAATGAAAAACGAAGGTAGATTTTGTGAGAAAATCAACTACTTTCCTGGCTAATACCACGCAGAACATTGAATTACATCCTCGATCCCGAAATCAATGCATCGACTCGTATAAACGAATACTAAGACAAGTGATTCTTTCCTGAATGCCTATTGATTTCGATTCAGCCAGGCCACGCTAGACACCTACAGACCGGTTTCGAGGTCTTTGACTCTCATCAGTGCAGGGCAGTCTCCAGCCAGCAGTCCTAAGACCGCCGACTGAGCGTAGCCTGGCCAAACTAAAATCAAGTCGGCAGAGGTGTATAGCGTGGCCTGGCTGAATCGAAATCCATAAGCATTCAGGAAAGAATCACTTGTATCAGTATTCGTTCATACGAGTCGATGCATAGATTTCGGGAGGATGCAATTCAATGTTTCGCGTGACATTATAGCCAGGAAAGTAGTTGTTTTTCTCCTGAAATCTACCATTATTGTTCATTTTATGAACATTGTGTGGAAATGACTTCGAGCTTTCTGTATTTATTTAACATTTAATTCCACTTTGAGCATTGTAGCTATTTCGTTGTTTTGTGGTTGTGTTGAGGAGGTGGTATATTCATTATTGCAATTTTTCTGGGAATTTCTCTCCTCGTTTTTATAGAATAAATATATGATATCGGTGGGGCAAGCCAGATGCATTGCCCCAAAATTTCACTGCGTTTAGAATTGTTCCTATCAGAGAGCCCAAAAGGAAAATTCCCTGTCAGTGACACAATCTTTTGAAAAAGGTTTGAAGGAGAGAAATACAGGTATATTGAAAAAATATCAAATGTTATCACAAATTGTCGTCAGGTGAAGATTAGTGAACATTCGATATTTTTTCTAGATACCTATATTTCTCTTCTCCGAACCATTTTCAAAACAAAGTGTCACTGACAAGCAGATGAATTTCTCTGTTAGGCTCTCTGATAGAAAAATGTTTGAACACAGTGACATTTTGGAGCAAACCATCTGGTTTGTCCTCACTACACGTATTGAAATAATTAATACACGGAAAAAAAGGATTGGTTGAATAAACCAATTATTTATGCTTGAATTATTTTTGTTGGACTGAGCAATTTTTTGTTGAATCAACCAGATATATGATTATTTCATGGAAGCAGCTTGTTCAACTCAAGAATGTAGTCTAATCGAATCAACAGTATAATATCAATTCCAT